TATAAAATTATTAAAATTTTTAATAAATCTTAAATAATATACAACAAATCTTTTAAAATCCCTCTAAAATATCAAATAAATACCTAGTTGACCTTTTAAAATCTTTAATAAATACTTATAAATGTAATTATAATTTTAATTATTAAGATTCAATTTGATTTCACAAATTAATTTAGCAAAAAATATTAATGAACTCAATAGCTTCTCTACTAATTGTTCTCAATTATATTTCAAAAAAATTATATTTTATTTAAAATACCACTTTGCAAATTAATTCTTATTTACTCAATTATTTTGAGAGTAAAAAAATAATGATTAAGTTATAAATAATTTTGGATAAACATATTAATTAATAAAGATGATTAAAATATCAAGAATTTTGAATATACAACTTATAATATGTAGAACTGAAGTGTATTAATTTGATAATGATTATATCAACTTTTAAGGCAAGAAAGAATAAGAGTTTTTCTAATATATGTCCTTAAAATAAAAGTTAAAATTGTAATTATTGTATATTTTAATCATTAAATCTTATAGAAAAATTTTAAAAAATTGTAATTAATGTTAGCACTAATAACACGTGTATATTTAAAATCAATCTTTATTTTTTCTACGTAATATAAGGACTAAAAGGTGTAATAATTACACCATTCAAGGTATAGATTAAAAAAATTTAAAGGATAATAACAAATAAATTATTAATATAGAAGAAAAAGTAAGGACGAATATAAGTAAATAAATAAATATATTGATAACACATGTAAGATTAAGTTAAAAGATAAGAGTCCTAAGAAAAGTTAGTGAAAAATAGAGTATAGGTAAAAGAAAATAATTAATACACCCTTTGATTTAATAAATTTTGCAATACTCTCTAGTTCAGTTTTTAAAATTTGTTTTTGAAAAATTTCTCACTTTGAATTCAAATTTGAAAATATTAGATTCTTAATGAATGAACCAAAATATGTTGTATAATATGTTGAACCGGAATGTGTACCAATTATTATCCTATAGGTAAATGGAAAGATACCAAAAGAAATATGCAGATGTATTATATTTTTTATTTTTTGACTTAAAACCTTTTAACATGGGTATTCAAGAGAGGAGATTAATTTGGGTTAAAATAGATATATAGTAGTAATAGATATAATCAATCATTTGTTAATTTAAGGAGTTCGATTTTCCTTAAGTGAATGGAGAAATAGTTGCGGGGAAAAATTTACTTATTATGAGGTTCAATGCGATTCAATTATGAAGTAATCGAAATCTAATGTGATTTTTGAATACGAAAGGTTAGTACAAAAAAAAAAGTAATAGTTATACATGCTCCGGCAAAAAATTTGATGAGGATTTAATGAATTATTCTATCATGTTTATTAGGTTGAAAATTTTTAATTGATATGAAAGTTGGATATTAATTAATTGAAAATTGATTTTAATTATAAATTAATTTTATTATATTTAATAATTATTTAAAATGTCAAATTAATTGCTATTTAGAGACTAGTATTATGGGTAAAGCAAACAAATAATTAAAATTAATAAATACTCAATAACAATAAAATTAAAATATAAAAAATATTTATCTCCTTAAAAAAAATTAATTGATATGAATTTTAAGTATTAGTTATTTTCGGATGAAGTAAGAGTTTTAATAGGCTTTGCACTTTGTTTTAAGAATTTGACTAACTTGTACCTTAAGGGTATAAGTTAAAAGTATATTAAATATATTTTTTTATCATAAATTTATATTTAAAAAATAAAAATTAATATTTAATTTATTAATTATTCAATTAAATTCACTTGACATTAAAATTAATATCAATTTTCACATTTTTATATATATTTATGATAAAAATATGTACTTAATAAACTTTTAAAACACATGTTAAAAAAATCCTTCTTTTAATGTGTAAAAGACCCCTTAGAAACTTCTTGTGAATTTATTGTCAGTATTTTTCTTTTGTAGAAAAAGAAAACCAGTTACAACATTAGATAATTTAACATTGTAAAATTTTCAAGAATGAAATAAAAATATATACTTATTTATTTTTTTCCTTTAATTTTGTCAAATCTCTTGTTTGTACTTTGCACATTATTTTTTTTTACAATTAACACCTTTTAGTCAATACTTTCTATCATTTAAAACCTATAAAAAAATATTAAATGATCAATAAAATTAGGAGATTTTATTATTAATTTTTACATTTTTTATAAATTTTAAATTGTAAAAAATGTTGAAAGCAAAAAATTTTGAAGATATTAATTACAAAAAATTAATATACAAAATATAAATGGAGAGTTTGTCTCTTCTTCTTATTTATTTATTTATTTATTTTTTATTTTTTCCTTGCTCGTAAGAATACACGACCTTCTCTTTGGCATCGTAAGAATACACGACCTTTTCTTTGGTCAGCGTAAGAATACACTACCAGATGAACATTTTAATGATACGCCTTTTTTTTTTTTTTTTTCATTTTAGAAATTTCATTCATGGAGTCCATTATAGGGCAAGCTCTTGGAACAGCAGGCGAATATTTAAATTGCCACAGAAACTTCCCAAATGATGTGCATGATCTCAGAAAAAGAGTGGCAGTTCTAAAACGCAGAAGAAATGATGTGGATGATAGAGTAGCAGAACTACTAAGAGTGGATGACTTGGAAAAAAAAGTTAAAGAAGAAGTGCAGGGATGGCTTGAAGATGCAAGGAAGGTCATTGAAATTGAAATGCCAGATATTGAAGAACAGGTGCGGAATGTTTCATACTTGTCACGTGGTAACCTTGGGAGACGTGTTCGTCAAAAGATTCAAGATGTGAAGGAAATTTACGATCGAGGTAGTTTCCCTGAAGGTCTTGTAATTGAAAGGTCTCCAGCTATTGGAATCACTTTGCCAACAGAGAATATGGTGGGCGAGGTTAATGTGAAGGAAAAAATTTGGGAATACTTAATGGGTCACGAGGTTGGAATTATTGGAGTTTGTGGAATTGGTGGAGTTGGCAAAACCACTGTTATGAAACACATCCATAATCAATTAGTGAAAGAGGCTAGCAGGTTTGAGAAGGTTGTCTGGGTTACAGTATCGCATCCTCTCAATGTTTTCAGATTGCAAGATGAGATGGCTTCGGAAATGGAAGAAACGCTTCCAGATCGGAGGGATGAATTGAATCGGGCATCAAGACTGATGAAGGCTATGAAAAAAGTTAAATATGCACTGATCTTAGATGATGTCTGGGATAAATTTACTCTTCACAGAATTGGAATCCCAGAACCAACAATGGAAAATGGGTGTAAAATTGTTATTACTAGCAGATCGATTGATGTATGCAACTACTTGAAATGTCAGGTAGTTAAAGTACCACCTCTACCAAAGCAAGAGTCTTTGAACTTGTTTTTAGATAAGGTTGGGCAAGATGTTCTACGAATTCCCAATTTGGAAGAGATTTTGAAGCTTATGGTGGCTGAATGTGCTGGTTTGCCATTGGCCATTGTTGTCATTGCGGGGAGCATGAGAGGAGTACAAGATATTTCTGAGTGGAGAGATGCATTACGTGAATTGCATCAGTGTGTGGTGGGCACAGAGAAAGATTCAGAAGATGAGATATTTAATCGTTTGAAGTTCAGTTATGACCGTCTACCAAAAAATTCAAGCTACCAGGAGTGTTTCTTATATTGCTCATTGTATCCGGAAGATTGGAATATTAGAAGAAATGATCTAATTGAAAACTGGATTTGTGAGGGAATTGTTGGAAAATTAAGAAGCAGAAGAGAAATGCATGATAAAGGAAATGCTATTTTAAATAGGCTTTTAAACTGTTGTTTGTTAGAGGAAGCCAATGAAAAGGCATGTGTTAAGATGCATGATGTTGTGAGGGACATGGCATTGCGCATCAAGAGCACGGGTCCTGGTAGGTTTATGGTAAAAGCTGGAATGAGATTGACAGAGATACCGGATGAGGATGAATGGAATGAAGATCTAGACAAGGTCTCCCTCATGAAAAATGAAATATCATATATCCCTCAAAATATGTCCCCCAAATGCTTGATGCTCTCAACCTTGATTTTGGAGGGTAATAAAGGATTGAGACAAATTTCAGAGTGTTTTTTTGCTAACATGCCCCTGTTGAAGTTTCTTGATCTTTCTAGAACTGGCATTGAGGTTCTACCTAATTCCATATGTAACTTGGAAAATCTCACTGCACTGATCCTCTGTGGATGTGAGCGTTTAAAACGCATGCCTTCCTTGTCAAAGCTTAAAGCACTGAAGAAGCTGGATTTGGATGGAGCAGGCCTTTGTGAGGCTCCTGAAGGCATTGAAATGTTAGAAAATCTGGAATATCTTGATTTATTTTGTCCAAACCTGCGGGTGCCAGTGCCACCAAGAGGAAAAATCAGTAAGCTCTTCCGCCTCCAATACCTATGTAAACATCCGATTTTTCCAACTGAAATAAGAGGAGAAGAAGTAGCAGGATTGAAGAAGCTGGAATGGTTTGAAGGTAGCTTTGATTGTGTGAAAGACTACAGCAGTTTTGTTAGCAAGTTGAACCATTTTGGAAGACCCAGTCATTACTTTATCAAAGTGGGAGGCGCAAGCATAGATAAGGAGGGGCATTTTTGGAAGTTCAACAATAATGATCTTCCTAAACAGGTAATTTTATTCAGATGCGAGATAGGAGAAGATGATGAGTTGGTCCTTCCAGATGACCTTCAGGATTTGAGGATTGAATCCTGCAATGCGGCCGGTGATATTTCTATTTTTCAGAAAGATCCTACTCAATTGCGAACTTGTGATTTGAAATACTGCCAAGGGATAGTGTGTGTGGTCTCTTTGTCATCATCTGCATCTACTTCCTTGACAGTTATGGATAACCTTGAAGTACTAACTCTTGAGCGTTTGCTTAGCTTGCAGGATGTTGTGAAAGTGGAAAAAACAAGAGCATCGCTTGCACCAACAATATCCCCTCACATCTTTTCCAATCTTAAACAGCTGAGGGTATACGATTGTTCAAAATTGAAGAAGCTTTTTCCATGTGAGCTGCTGCAGGGTCAGGGCCTCCAAAACTTGGAGCTGATTGAGGTGACTAAGTGTGGGGGGATGGAGGAAATAATAGGATGGGAAGAAGAAGAGGAAGGGGATGTTGTGAAAGTGGAAAAAACAAGAGCATCGCTTGCACGAACAATATCCCCTCACATCTTTTCCAATCTTAAACAGCTGAGGGTATGCTATTGTACAAAATTGAAGAAGCTTTTTCCATTTGAGCTGCTGCAGGGTCAGAGCCTCCAAAACTTGGAGTGGATTGAGGTGACTAATTGTGTGGGGATGGAGGAAATAATAAGATGGGAAGAAGAAGAGGAAGGAAATCAAACAACTACTCCAATATCGATCACTCTTCCAAAATTAAGTATATTGGAGTTGCAATTCCTACCAGAATTGAAGAGAATCTGCCCCGAAAGAAGAGTAATGGTTTGTGAATCTCTCAATAACATCACAATATCGACCTGTTTGAAGGTAAAGAGGATTCCCCTTTGTCTTGGAAGGGAAAATGCGCAACGATCTTTTCCTGCTGTCAAAGATATCTTTATTTTCAATCCAAAAGAATGGTGGGAATCGTTGGAGTGGGAGAATCCTGACGATAAGTTTGTCCTCCTACGTTTCCTCGAATATAATGAGCTCGAGTAAGTCTCATTAGTCTCCCTCTCTCCATCACTTGCATTCCATTCTCTCTTCTCTCTGGTATTTCATAAATAAATGTTTCTGAATGAATCCAAGTGTTAATCTCCGTTGATTTGCTCAATTATCTAATCTTGATTGATTTGCTCAATTATATAATCTTGATTGATTTGCTCCTAAGATGTCTGTCTCACTAATTCCTTTTTTGATTATTCACAGCTCGGGCCCTTGGGTATCTATTAACTATAAATTTGCTAAGCATTTCGATCACCATGCAGCGTTTTTGCAGCCACTCATTGAATATCAATCTGGTCAATCTATGTCCACTTTCTAATTCCCAGTCCAGGTATATATGTTTGTATTTTTCTTGAACATTTTTCTTTTTTCCTTTTTTTTTTTTTTTT